GTATGCCACAAGTTCTCATGTTTTGAATTCAGATGGGTTACCAACCAAGGCTATAGAATCCAGTCTGTCCCGATATTTACGCATAGTTGTGGGGAAGAGATGGATTCATACCCCACTCTCTCTTTCTCATATATATATATATATATATATATATATATATATATATATTAAAGAGAGGCCACAAATGTTTTTAGTTATAATGTGAATTTTTTAAAATATATATTATACGTTATTTTCCATATTTTTTGCTACACAAATTTCGGGTCTTGTGACCTTCATCAGGCGAAGAATGTTTATTTACACATATTATTTAAAGGAATTATTTTTTTCTTATGTTTAACTACTGTCTTTTGTGTGTGGTTGTAATCCAAGTTCTTCTTGGACTTCTGGGGAAATTCTTCTGCTTAAGGGGTAATAAACAATTACGATTGGTCATAGGGGAAAGGAAGGAGATCTTTGTTCTTATCTTTTTATGACCTCTGTATCTTTTTAAACCTATCTCTATTTTTGTGTATTTTGTGTTTGCTAGTATGTGTATACATATTCATTCTCCATACATATATATTGTTTTATTACAAGGAATTAGTTTATATATATATATACACATTTTGTATGGCATGTAGGGTTCGTGTATGTGTGTGTATGTGCGTGTGTGATCCGTCTAATGAGTTTGTTTTTGCTAGTGTGTATATATATATATATATATATATATATATATTCGTTCTCCATACATATTTGTATAGCGTGTGTGTGTAGTCCGACTAGTGTGTTCGGCCAATATGTGTGCATGGTCTGGGGTTATGATTTGTTTAGTGCCGGTTTAAATTTGTCTATGAAGTTTTTTCTTGTATTTGTAGGTAAGAATAAATGTCTGTTTGATATATTGGCATAATTTTATCTTCGTTGCATTTGTGGATGTGTTGTGATATAAAGAGTTTTCTGTTCTCTGGAAATTTAATGATGTTTTTGTGAAACAAATGCAACGAAGATCTATACACTAAATCCGTCACCTTCCAATAAACCCATTGAACCTCGACAATGTCTGATCCTGATTCTAGAACGCCACATTTATCGCTTGTTCTAATTAGTGGTTTCTATAGGCTATTCATGATTTGATGATTCAAGCGGAGATGCCTTCTCTTCTCTATTGCTGTCTATTATTTTCACTGCTGTTTATAAAGTTTGGTGGGATTCTTCTGCATATTGTTAGCCATACCTGATTGTAAAGAGTAACAAACAACAAAGAAATTACTCCAACTAGGTAAAAAAAACTACATCTACAAATATTATTTTTTCTTGATATGTTGATTCATGGCACAAAGCTGAAAATATGTGTCACCCAGTGAGAATCGAAGTCGCTATTCAGTCCTAATTGACCCAGCGTGACCAGCTTGCTAAACGTAACACCACCTCGAAATACTCAAGTTATTTAGCTTACACAGAGAAGCGATTCTAAGAGAACTAGAAGTCCTGGCAGGATTTATTATTGGTGCGTACAGTCTTAATATCAGATGACACCGTGTTGATATCAGAAACAGAATTAAAACTGCAGGATCTATGAGAGTAGCTAGTATTACGAAACGGGAAGAAATGACTAACCATTGATTAATGGAAGAAGTCAATATGGCTGATAGCAACAAAAACAAACCCAAGAAGCGAGCTTCGAAATGACGATATTAAAATCAAGTAAGTACATTATTTTAAACTCTGACGAATATTTTAACAGGCGACAGAAAATGTTACATAGAAATCTGAAAACCCATTGAAATAACGAAAGACGCTTTCCAAAAGCTGATCAAAGTATTAAGAAATAGGAATATATTGTTAGAAACAAAGAAAAGAATGCTGGGCTTCTATGTAATATCAATCCTTCTCTTATATAGCAGAAAATAGTGAACAATTTCCACACAGATAAAGAGATGATTTGAGGCAACAGAAGGATCCTGACAATACCATAGATAGAACAATTTGGAAACGTGAAAGTTTCAAGAAAAAAAGAGACAAAAATATAGTTGTACTTAGAATCAAAAAGCTACATTTGAAATTACTGGGATACATTAAGGAAAGAAGGCTTGGGGAATTTCACACTCACAGGACATATTGAAGAAAAGAGAGAGGGAAATATCGCGTAACATACGTAATGCGTTTTTGTAAATAGATGACAGAAAGGAGGGTGGGAGGAATAGTAAAGGGATGAACATTAGAGCTACAAAGAATAGGAAGTTGTGAAGAGCCATGATCGCTCATGTCATGAAGAGATAGCACACATAAACGAAAATAAGAAAATAGGGAACTTTTAAACAGAATACTTTGTTTTCTCACTGAACGATTTTGACCTTTATTTGAATTGGACGTCAGGATCAACACTTTCCTGTTCAAGAATTTTGCTTAAAGAAACATTTTATCACATTCAAAGAAGAGAGGAAAATTTTGACAGCAGTTTTGAAAATAAAATAGCTTAATTGTTTACAAACCGGAAAAAACTCAATTTTGTGATAAGGAAAACACAAATCCTGTGGAGAGTTTTAAGGGGAAGTGGAAATCCCAGATATGAGAAAAGAATGTAGATATCACTTGGCCAACAGGTTAAATCAGTTGCTTAGAATGACACATATTTTTTAAAAAAATCACATAAATCAGATAAATGTATAAACGCTTACGAGGCACTACTGAAATTCGTTCGTAAAAAATAGGGGAACAAACTTTGGAAATAAATTTTTGCAGATTCATGGAAATCGAAAAATATTGGAGAAAATAACAACATCGGTAGGACGCAGTTATCAATGACTTAAGAACAGTTTCAAACTCGACATTTGTAGAGAAAAACAACAACAAAATAACTTAATTCTTTAAGAAAGAAAACAAAGCTTATTTGATACTGAATTTTATATTACTAGAATATTTTTGCAACAATATTGTTGAATTTATCGCTACCATTTTTTGTCGAGATTTACAAACTCTACGTTTCGTTCAATTTCGCAAACCAATCAATGAAATTTGAATAAGCTGATTTGTTTGGAAAAATACTTTGACAAAAACCCTACATCGTGTATTAATAATTTCTTTAATTTAATTTTATAATTTTATAGGTTTTCATGGTAAACAATATTTTTTAAGAGAAATTCTTTCTTTCCTTTAAAAACAGCGAATAATAAATTCTTGGGGTTTCTTATTCTTGAGCATGCAACATACAACTGGCTATGCGTAAATATTCCTTTCTGGAGAAAAATTTCAACCTTTTGAAGCGTTTGAACTTATTTATTGTATTAAGATATGCAACCTAGTCAAACCAGCTGTACTATGTACTCCCTTCTCCCCTAAATTTAGTTTCGATCGGTTAATGTATAGCTGTTTTAGTGGGTGTGACGGACTTATATTATACTAGACTACCCGTGACCCATTGGGTCACTGACGGTTCAAGTTATAAAATATTGTCGTTAATTTCAGCGTTCCATTGAAATCAAAGTTAATTTTATTATGATTCAGTTAAATATTTCAATTCGTTCACGTTTTACTGATTATTTACAGTATTTAATACGAATAGAATTTCCGAGATAAACTTGAACTTTAAATCAGATCAACTTAAAATATTTTTGAAATTGCCAAAAGATTTTTTTAAATATTTAAAATATTGTTTATGTAAAGAAAGGTGAAATATAAATAATTACTCTACAAACAACTGAACGAAACGGCAAAGTGGGATCTCTTTGTGTCTGTCTTTAGCTTAAAAATATTTTAATTATAAAAAATGTCTGTTTGAGGAAATTTAAAATAAAAATACTTCCTGCATAAAAACAAAAAAATCAATATTTTTATTCTGACAAATGTCGTGCCTTGAGGAATATCTAAAGTATGCTAATCTACAAAAATTATTCATAAATAATTTACCCTATTTTCATTTTTAAGCGGACAACTTCAGTAGTGCCGTTTGCGATTGTAACACACACACACACACACACACACACACACACACACACATATATATATATATATATATATATATATATATATATATATAAGGATGCTATCCAAAAGGTTTCCTTAAAGAAAGAATCAAAACATGAGAAACAAGAATCAGAACATGATTGATTACGAAACCTAACTGAGTGATTTCAAGACATGCGTGAAATCCCCGGCGAGTCTCAGGAAATGCTAGATAACTTAATTAATCTGTTCAATTTGTTTTCGGTTAGCATTCACATAAGTGAGTGTATCACTCAGTTAGTACACATGTAACAGGAAACCGTCGTAATAATTAACCATTAACCCGTGCCATTGCTAAGGATGCTTAAAGAATGACTGGTTCCTTTAATCGCTTAAAACAAAACAAAAAAAATGAAGAAAAATCCTGACTGCGAATACCAGGCTCTATTTTTACAAGAATCAGATCTAACGAAGAATCGAGTATTGATACCCAGTTCTCAATGTCTAGCCTCAACAAAGTTCAAAATCGATTACGCAGCCTTGCGGGTGATGAATCATTCTCCACCCTGCAAACCTTATCCCACAGATGAAACGTTGCTAGTCTCTCTCTACTCTATTGCGATTACTATGGCTGATGTTCAGATGAGTTCCATGCGTTAGTTCCACCAGTTCAGACCTTCACAGCAAGAAACCGCCATGCCCTGTTCACGGTGGTAAATCATCCCCACTCCCCTTGTGCTCCTTTGATAAGGAGTAAGTTCCATTCAGGCAGTTTCTTCCCCAGGACCGTTACTTTGTGGAACTCCCAAGAGAATGTTTCCCTCACCGTTACAATCTAGATCTCAAGTGCCAGATCAACCAATATCTATCCAACACGCCCTCATAATATGGACGTCTAAATTTCTCCTTTCCCTACCAGTAACTCAGTATTCTTCTACCTTGAGTGGATCTTGGGCCTTGTATTTGGTGACTAACAGTAAAAAAAATTTTCAATGCCAATTCTTTTGTCTCCACTACAATCCATTATTTAATTTTCTAATTTATTTTGGTTAAAATGAATTTCTTCTCCACCTTAGTTTAATATTTTCTCTTGCCTCTCTCTCTATTGCAACACTTTCTTTTGCCTCTCTCTCTCTCTCTCTCTCTCTCTATTATAACACTTTCTATTCCCTCTATCTCTATTCTAACATTTTCTCTTGCCTCTCTCTCTATTGTAACACTTTCTATTGCCTATCCCCCTCTCTCTCTCTCTCTCTCTCTATTGTAACACTTTCTATTGCCTCTCTCTATTCTAACATTTGCTCTTGCCTCTCTCTCTCTATTCTAACACTTTCTCTTGCCTCTCTCTTTATTGCAACACTTTCTCTTGCCTCTCTGTCTCTCTCTCTCTCTCTCTCTCTCTCTATTCTAACACTTTCTATTGCCTCTCTATATTCTAACATTTTCTCTTGCCTCTCTCTTTATTGCAACACTTTATCTTCTCTCTCTCTCTCTCTCTCTATTGTAACACTTTCTATTGCCTCTCTCTCTCTCTCTCTCTCTCTCTCTCTAACACTTTCTCTCTACGTCTATCTCCGCTTTAATACTTTCTCTTTCTTTTCTTCTGTTCGCTTTACTTTGATATTTTATCTTTGTCACTTTCTAACACTCTAGAGTTTAATACTTTTATTTCCCTCTTCCTCTTCTTCTTTTCTCTCTAATACTTTCCTTTTCTATTTCGCTTTCTTTCTCTCTAATACTGTCTTTTCTCTCCTTCTATTTTTATACTTCGTCTTTATCTCTCTCTGTCTCTCTTGTTTGATATTTTCTCTATCAACGTTAATTCTTTGTTTCTTTCTTTCTCCTTTGTTACTATCTCTCCTCCCACTCTCTTTGATATTTGTTTTGTATCTCTCGTTTTCTCACGCCTATCTTTCACCATCTCCTCGCTCTATACTTCTTTCACAGTCATCGTCTTTTACGCTCAAACCTTTTTCCCCGCTTCCGGATTAAAGTCAAGAAAACTTGGCTTATTCTAATCCAAAGCAAAATTACACGAGTTTAACATTATAAGCCACGAACCAACATTGATGTGTTCATCAATTTGTTGAGGTCGTAAAAAAACTCAAAACGAATTAAAAACCAGGGTTAGTTGAGCAATAAATTGACCTTGGTTTATTATACACTACAAATATAAAGAAATCGGGTACTTTATTTTCGATCTATTTTTTTCTCTTTAGAGATTTTTCCGATAAGTTCTCTTTTGTCATCAAGAAGTGGATTTTAGCAGACTCCGATTTTTATCTGGGTTTATACAAGGGAGATAATCTATTCAGGGATCTTGGACAATTATAAATAAATAAAATAAAATAAATAATACTCCAAAGATCTAGTCCCATAAATTCTATTGAGTAATCGATATTTATTAAGATCTGCAAATACTGGGCACTCATTGAAGATCGAAATCACTCCTAAAGCTAACTCGATAATATTACCCGATGTTGAGGCGCCCAAAATTTACTTTTTTTTAGAAGTATAGAGCACCCAGTGAGAATCAAATTCACTCGTAATAATCTGTTAGCTTGCTAACCATCATATCCCAAAGAGGCAACTTAAAAAATAAGCTTAGTTTGGCACAAGGCCACAAGTGTGATGATCGACCTCATTACGTATAGTCAACCAGCATAGGTAGCATTAACATTACCTTGCACCGAGATGATCCATGTAGTTGTGAAAAATGAGCTTGTTATTAGCCAAAATACCGACGCTGGTAGAAGGTGACACAAGGTCGGTTTAATGTGGGGTGCCGTACATACGAATCAAATGACAAAAACTGCGCAGTCCCCGCAACCACTGTCACACTGGCGTCAGTATTCACTGGCTCTCCCTTTTCAGTGCATTGAGGGAGATGGTGGTACAGAGTTGGAATCCCCGGGACCAAACATCTCTAAAAACTTTTTGAATTGTCTGAAAACACTGCACTGAAGAACAGGTCTTACACTTTGGTCGCAGCCTGAGAGCCGGGAAAAGCATACACTCCGATACATTTTAGCCACCTTCCCACGATCGATGGTCAGATTTAACACTAGGCTTCCCTCATAACTTGAAGGACAGATACTATATTCTCATCCTAGACTGAAGACCGAGGTGCTGAGCTCTTCGTGGTAATTTGAAACGCTAAAATATGATTTTCCCGTCTGACGACAAACATCGACTGTTAGAATAAAATCTACAATTGTGTGTGTGTGTGTGTGTGTGTGCGTGTGTGCATATGTGTGTGTGTTTTAAGATTTGGGATTTTCCAAGGAAGCCCAGGTTTTTGTTATGCCCTGAGAAGGAAAGCAATCTAATTATCTTTGCTATTTCCTTCCGTCACTTCGTCCTCGAGTTCTTGATGGCCTTTAACAATTGAAGATATATACAGTCAAAGGCGGATACAATTTGTGGGACGGAAGTTACAGGATGTTACTATGAATTTAAAATTCATACGTGAATCAAAACTAGCACAACATTCTAAGTTCAACTTGTTGAAAAATAGCACGTTGCTCTTGTGGATTGACAATGTTACGAATATATCTGCCGAATTTGAAATTTATGCAAGAATCAATGTCACCTAAGCATTACTTGTACATATTTTCGAAAACTTATTACGAAATTGTCATTTAATATTATTTTAGTCCTCTAACCTTGAAGCTACGTTGTTTCTGATTAACAACCTTCTCGTCAGTCTCCAACCAGGTATTTATGCTGATAATAACTACTGACTCCTGTTTTGGTAGCAAGTCCGATAGGTCCAACATAATAAAACTGACAGCTGCTCTCCAAAATGACCTTCAATCAGTTGTTAACCGGAGCAAGGAATGGCTTTTAAATTTTAACGCCTCCATGACAAAACTGCTATCATTTAATCACCAGAGAGAACTTTTCCTGTCTTTCATCTGATGCTAACCTCCAAGATAGCAACTATTTGCGCGTTCTTGGTCTCACGTTTTCCACTGACCTGAAGTGGAATGATTATATTGAATCAATTGTTAGATCTACTGATAGAAAGGTTGGTTCATTGTGTCGTGCCAGACAATTTTTCTCGCTAGAATCCATCTTGCCTATTTATAAACCTATAATTCATCTGTACAGTGAATACTGCTGCCATATCTGGTCTGGTGCTCCTATTATATATCTCGAGATTCTTGACAAAATCCAAAGAAGGGTCTGTAATTTCATTGGTCCTGACCGAGTATCCCGACTTCAGTTACTTTCTCACCGATGTGGCTTGACTTCCCTCTGTCTTTTCTATAAATATTTCATCGCACTTGTTCTGATGAGCGTTCGACTGCATGAATTTAACCGTGCTATTAGATTGACAACTAAGTTTCAGCGTTTTATTGTTGAATTAGCTAGGTGTAACAGTAAGTTCTAGTCTAATATTTTTTCTGGAACTTTGCGTTTTTTTTGTTTTTGTTTTTTTTGCTTCCAGGTGTCCTAAAATCGTGAAAACTTTAAATGCAATGCCAATGATCATCTTCTGTCTTAATTTCTACTCTTTTATTATCCTTTTTCTTCACTCTTCCTCTTCTCTTTCAGTCCCAATAACCTCTTGCGTCTTAGTGGTATTATCGCCTTACTTGAGGTGAAATAATAAAAGACAATAACAAAAATTTCCTATCCCAATCCACGTAACCAGTGTCACGAAAGTGTTAGAATATTCAGACTCTCCATCTGCAGGGGCGGAGTCATCATCCCCAAGGCCAGGCCCGCTTCATGTTAAGTCGCATCCTGCTGGAGGACTATAAATTGGGTGACGAGTTGAACAGATACTGCACATTGATCCTGTATTTCTCTACACTTCCACAGTGATAAGATGAGACATGTTGGGTTTCACGTAGAGGGTGGTGGGGACAATGCATATACATATGGTCCAAAAACAAAAATTACCCGGTCCCCCATTAATATTCATACATACTGACTAGCCCTTACCTAGTGCAATGAGAGAGGTTCTGCAGAAGATTTGAAACATCCATGTCTAGACTTCCCTCATTGCTAGGCCATGAATTGTTCAAATACAAGAGAACATTTTGTCCGCAGTACGAGAAAAATCAGCAAAGGAAGTGGAACAGATATTACACTCTGATCACAATCCAAAAGAAGAGAAGTTTCATTCGGTCTACAGTCCTGAGTATGACGATAAACTACATCTGGTAGCAAGGCCCCTGATCAGGAGATTGGAGATTTTGAGGATCGTGGAACCACATCTTAATTGCTGTTGGTTCCCACGTACACTCTAACCCGGAGTGATAGCACCTGTTAGGGCCCCAGGTATGGGAAAATAGGGAACCCCAAAACAAAACACTATGAAAGTATAAAAATAAATTTTTATATAGAAAAATGACTGGCAATACATTTTTAAAGCAAAATGACCAACAATACAGTTGAAGGCATACAAATGCGTTCAAATTTATTTACTTGAATCCATAAAATTGTTTTCAAAATATTTAGATTTCGGCATTAAATAACCCATAGAGGTTGACATATTGTTAAACAAAAATCAACCAACCAACGTTCAGTCTAATATTTATGCTTTAATTAAAGTATAAAAAAGCTGTCAGTCAAATTCAATAAAACCTGGTTTAATGAATTCTTCAATTCCAGTATAAGTGTGCGTGACTATCTACACACAACTCAACACAAAGTTCCAAATCCTTCTCACCTTGAAAGAACCTTCGTTTCCCCTTTCTCACACCTGACCTTTCATCGTTTCATCCCCAATATCTCTTGGTCTCTTTGATATCGAATGTTTCTCAATGATTTGTTTGTCTGCTGAATTACTCAAATCTCTTCCTCAATATTGACAATACGCTACACCAAAAGTCCACACGGCAAAAACTAAAACCCTGAAGGCCTATTTGCGGCATTCTTACTCTGATTTAGAGCATTAACCTCTAGCTTTTAATAAACGATTAACCTTGAACATCAAGGAGACTCAAATCTAAAACAGCGGCAACTTATATTTTGGTCTGTACCAGTATTTTGAAATATTGTGTTGTATTCTTATTTGCGTCTGCGTTCTCTATCACTGAAGACGTTTTCTTTCTGACTAGGATCTTTTTCGGAACTTGATATTCAATCGCTGCTTTTAGAAACACTTATATAATTTAAAGTTTATCAGATTTTCCGGAGTTGAAGACGCAAGTCTATGTAAGATATTCCTAGAATTATTTAAAGAAAGAAAAACCACACAAGATAAATGGTGAGTACATAATTCCAAGACATTGCTAAGACAGAAAATAGCTTTTATAACTTTTGCTGTATAAAAAATAGAATTTTGAATCCTTTTTTACGCAACTGAAATGTTGCGCGCGTGCGCACGCACACACACACACACACACACAGTGTAATTTAGATTGGAAACATTTTGTTTGTGAAGAAGCGTTGGTTTATTCAGTCAGAGTTCACATCTGGTTTCGACCGTTGTACACTCCGCTCTTCTTCAGTTGTCAGTTGTATTCGGGAATTTTTTTTCTAACACTTTATTCAATCCACAGTTATAGATACTTCTCATTCCACTGTCCATACTCAGAAATATATTGTATCAGTTAATACTTCCTAATTAACCGCCAGATTATCGAATAAGACAAATACATGAAGAACGCGTGTCGGGGTGGGAGTACAATGATTACATCTTTAAAAACAAAGATAAAGTTTAAAATCTGAAATAATTTATTTCGTTTTCATTGATTAATCCTATGAGATAACAGATCATCGGATTATCATGATGGACTTTGTCTTTTATGTAGGTTCCTCCACTTTTTCACGAAAAAAAAAGCAACATAACATGATGAAAAAAAGGCCACAAACTCAATGAAAACAAAGTTTTGTCATCAAAATGTTTGTTATTATTGTTTTTTATTAATTTTTTTAATTTTTTAATCCTTTCAAGCGCGTTCGAAATTTTGGTTAAAAATCTTGTTTTGTTTACGTCAGCGGCTGACATAATGATAATGATTAGTTTTTTACGC